TTTGCAAAGATAAATAAAATAGTGTTGCACGTTGATATATTAATTACGGGGTATTTCCTACCCTGTTAAATCATTGTTGGTAACTTTGAGAGAATCATAACATGATCAGTGACTACACCTGGATGAATATTATTCATTATTAAAAATAACCAAAAACTTAAATTATAATTATAAGTAAATTGAGCAATTTGTTATTTGAGAAGGGTTTATCCAACTGGTAGCCCTCCACGTTAATCGGTGCCCGAAAGTAGCTCTTAGTTTCAGAGGTTGGTGACTCCCGTGTTAAACGCTAAAGACAACATTTTGAAGAAAGCTGAAAACCTGTAACCATTGACTTTCACAGGAAGGAATAAATAATAAGGAAGTCAATGCGGCTGTCCGTAGCGCCCAGCCACAATTCATGACACTTCGTATTCTGCCGCGCCGCGGAGCGCTATTTGTATAATTGATTAGTTTATTTGATAAAGTATGAATGCTTGAGTCTGGTGTGCATTAATCTACTATTCTCTGTTGTAAGTGCGTCGCGTCACCGCGCCGTCGGCGCCTCTGGTGCGCGACGCCCTTCAGGCAGAGTTTGTTACGGCCAAGATCGGATTTAGATCATTTCTCTTCTATTCCGGAGATTGCTGCTGCGAGATGAAATAGGTGAGTGACTAAAAGGCATCCCAGCGGGATAATGCGCATGTGTGTTTGATGTTCTAGATGGAGAGCAGTTTATGCTTAGCGTGATATTTTTCTTCCAGAATATAAAAGGGGACTGATTGTCGATTTATTCAAGTAGCTTATTAATGCTTGAAATTCTATCACTCCAAATTGATGCTTAAGAATTCTATAGAAGTGCTTAAGCCAGAGGTTCTTCCGCAATGAGAATGCAAATATTAGAAAACCGGTCACTAGTTTAGCTGGGGGATATTAGGGAGAGAGAAACGGGAACTTGTAGGTGAATTACGTGCAAACACCGTAGTTATTGGCGAAATCCAGCGGATCGTTTTTAAGCATAAATGTGTGGGCTGCTTTTGCATCCGAATGTTAAACACACTACGAAATGTAATTGTGACCTCCGATTGCCAGAAATCGGGTGGCGGGTGTAATGTTGATTGCAACCGAGCGCTGCAGCCGTCTAGATTAGAGAGATTGCTTGGTTTATAACGTGATAATTTAAGCATATTCATCAGGTAGAATCATGCTGTTAAAAATTATGAGGAGATGAAAGAGCCGTTATTAGACGTTTTTAGAAACGTTCTAATGTCCATTTCAGTAGGGCTGGTATGGATGTGCTTAACGGGGAATTGCTCTGTGATTTCTGGTGTAGTGTTGGTGGACGGCTAGTGAGGTTGTGGGAAGGGAGCGCCGAGATCGGCTGTGCTTCAGTAGACGAAACCTGGAATGAGAAATTCAGAAAATTAGGTCAGTTACAAACGTAATTCAGTAAAAGCATAAACATATTGACAAAAGTCGACAAGTAATTTCTATTTTATAATAGAAAATAATCAGCAGTAGCTGCGAGCTTGTAAAAATGAGAGGGGGAAAAAGCAATGATACGCAAGGTAGAGGGGCGGGGTGCGTAGGTGGTAAGGATCGCTGAAAGAGGAGGACTGGAGTGTGCACTGGAATCGGGAGCTGCAGGATGGAAGAGGTGAGGTGGGATTCCCAAGAGTTGCTTTATTGTCCGGGAGATTGGTTTTATCCGTGTTTAGAATTATGATTGCTGCAATATGTCCAAATCCAATATTGCTTTTTAATCCTTTCCTTGATTCTCCGGGGAGGCGGAGAGGTTGCGGGTTTAATGTCTGTTTAGGATAGGGGGTGTGGCAGGAGCGTGTTATGTCCTGGGGGTGGCGGTGAAGACGTGGATTCGCAAGTGTTTTGGGTTTAATGCAGCGGCTTTGAATTATGGTCCCGGCGTCTAGGAGTTTGAAGGAGTTCAGTGACAGTCGTTGTTGGATATGAGTGACACATGATGATGCTGGAGAAGGTACGTAGCGGAGCTGGGGATTGCATTGTGATCTGGCTGGAGTGGATAGGCCTACGGCCTCTCGTTGGAGCCTCGGTCTCGAGCTGACTTTCATGCTGGGCTGGTTGTTGTTAAGACGGGGCTGGTGTTTCAGGGAGCCCGGAGCTTTCTTTCTTGTATGTAGCTGCGCTGATGCTGTTGTGATCTCAGCCGCCGTCGCTGTTGTTGTTGTTTTTGTCATTTTTTGTAGTTGCTGACGATGGTATTAAAGGTGGTGTGGTATTGTAGTTGAAGAATAGTAGGAGATGTGGAGGATCCGTTTTGTCCGTGAGTAACTTTTGGAGGAGCTAGGGCGGACCTGTCGTTTGTTTCTTCGGAAAACGAAGATAAGGGAGTAATGTCTAGCTAGGCTACTTATAGTGGGTTAGGATAGATCTGATTGGCTAACTAATGAGTGTAGATAGGTGGCCAGCTGCTGTCAATTATATCACGTGCTCCTCTCGAAATTAGTTTAAAAACTTCACATAATCCAGCACGTTTTAATGTAGCGGATGCCCTTCCAGCTGCAACCCATCTCTTGGAAACATCCACACACTCATTCACACACACACACACACACACACACACACACACACACACACACACACACACACACACACACACACACAAATGCTTATACACTACGGACACTTCAGCCTACGGAGCAACCGGATCACCCAGAGGAAACCCATGCAAACGCAGGGAGAAAATGCAAACTCCACAGAAACACAGAGGTTTGATTGGTCGTTGTGTTCACAAGCTCAACAGAAATGACTGTGATTGGCTGTGAAGGTCATCAGTTCACTGAACTCACTGCTCTTCATCAAGAGCAAACACAGATACGCAGACACTGAAGTGTTTCTGTCGTCTTCTGGTTGAATTAAAGGCAAACTTTAATTGTGGATGTGCATGGCTAAACAGATCTGTTTTGAAAGGATTTTCTTTGCATAGTTTGCTGAAGCAATTTAGTCACTTTTCTTACTTAATCATCCCTAATACACAAACTTTACACCTCCTTTGATTTTAAGTTGGTTAAATTAAGTTTTATACTTAGCATAGCAATAGTTACCGGTTGGAATTGTAAACAATTTTTAAACACTGCCAATTGGTCAACAGAAATGACTGTGATTGGCCGTGAAGGTCATCAGTTCACCATTCTTTACCGCTGTTCATCAAGTGCAAACACAGATACGGGACCATGAAGCGTTTCAAAGTCACATAGATCTGTCATCAGTGGATCACTCATGCTCCAATAAGAAAGAAACTAAAGATTTGACCGTGTCAGAAGTTATAATTCCAGTCTTTACAGTTTTTGACTGGGCTCCATGTGTGCATGCTGTTGAAAGAATGGAAATAATGTCAAGCAAACAAGCTATCTTTTTATTTAAAGGTTGAATTTCTTGTCCAAAGCCAGCAGCAATACTATTACAGCTTCTAGAAGTAATAAAAAAAAGTCCCCAATTGTGACTAGTGGGATTATTACAAATTGTTTTGGTCTACATTGAAGTAGTCGATCAGTTGCTCCTGAATGTGCCCTAAACAAAGCGTGTCTGTTTTTAAATCATATCTTAAAACTCGTCTCTTCTCTTTGGCCTTTGAAAATTGTTGACATTTTGCTTATTTTATGTATTTTATGTCCTGTTGAGTTTTAGGCTGAATCCAAAATCACATACTTCCATACTATAGAGTATGCTAAAAACAGTATGCAAGCTGAGAAGTATGTCCAAGTTCATAGAGTTTAAAAAACTGTATGCGAGAAGTTCCACCACTTCCAGTACTACTTCCAGTGAGATTCTGAAGTGTGCATCTAATGCTACGCCATCCCATAATGCCACATGAGAGAATTCACGAATGAGATTGAAGAGACTCACCTGACCTGGTAGGTCAGGTGATCATGTAAATATGGCAGCTGTAGTACATCAGAGTTCATTTCATACTTCTCTCATTCATACTGTATAGAGTGCACTTTTCTAGCGGTCCAGTAATAAATACAAATGCTGTACCTGCTGAGTATTAGGGTGCTTTTACATCTGTAGTTCGCTTCATTTGGTTCGCAGCAAGGGTAATAAATGATACATTGTTGCATTTTCTGCCGTCTTTGGGTCGTTTTCACAACACACTGCTGGCTTTGGTCCGAACCAGTTGAAACGAACCAAAATGCAGTCATCTGACAAAATCCACATCTCTCATTGGCCAGATGTTGTTGAACATATTTCCTAAACTGCTTATTGATTGGTCAGAATTCTTGTGCGCAAAAATGCCAATAAACTCCCGCAAGTAAACAAAACCGGCAGACACAACATGTCGCTTTTTACTATGAAGGGACGACTGCGCTGACTGATTGTATGCCTGCTTTAGACATATAAACTATACATTTCGAGAATGAAGCGCGGCCGTGGCTGGAAAACAGGGTTTTAATGCATCGCTCGTCACTTCAGCAGGAGGCTTGAATTAATTTAGCTAAACTGCGACATGGTCATCTTGCAGAAATTTTACCAGCGATCCATCAGGTAATGTTTTCCCCTCCCTCTCTCTCTTTGTTTGTAAAGTGCTGCCAACGAATATTTTCCTCCATATCCCATAATGCAGTGCGCATCGGCCTACGGCAGCTGGATTAGTCCAAAACGCGCAGTACTTTTTGCAGTTGGACCTCATTTAGTACGGATAATATTCTCACCACAAACCAACCGCTCCAGGGTTCGTTAGAAAGCGTACCGAGACCACCTTTTCAAGCAGGTCTCGGTACGCTTTTTTGGTCCGCTTTTGGTGCACACTCGAGTACGATTATTACATTCACACCTGCCCAAACGAACCCCACCAAAGGGGAAAATGAACTCTAGTGCGATTCAATCAAACTAAATAAGGCAGGTGTGAAAGCACCCTTAGGCGATTTTGGATGCAGCCTTATTCTTCTGTTCAGCACTTTGGGAGTTTTAAAGTGCTTTATATATAAAGTTTGATTGATTGGTTGAAGTAATGATCTCTTTCCTCTGCTTCTGTCTTGCAGTACCTGTGTAGCGTGGGGGCTCGTGGCAGGGCCCGGTAGGAGCCGGCACCATTGCGTCCAACAAGTGGAGTGCCAACGGCAGCCCGGAGCAGGGGCTGGAGGATGGGGCCGATGAACTGGACAAGGCCATGGACGGAGATGCAGAGGGCGTGTGGAGCCCCGACATCGAGCAGAGCTTTCAGGAGGCACTGGCCATCTACCCGCCCTGTGGTCGCCGCAAAATCATCCTGTCAGATGAGGGGAAGATGTACGGTAAGTGAGCTGAAGGGGAAGTTGTGATGCAGAGATGAGCACAAAATTGTCATCCACTTTAGATCATATTATTTAAATTCCTATATACATCACAGGATAGTACCATTCTGTAAATTCAATCAATTAACAGTCTATATACAGTTGAATTCAGAATTCTTAGCTCCCTTTGAATTATTATTATTTTTTTTCATTTTTAAATATTTCCCAAATGATGTTTAACAGCAAGGCAATTTCCATAGTATTTCCTATAATATTTTTTTCTCTTGAGAAAGTCTTATTTGTTTATTTCGGCTAGAATAAAAGCCCTTTTTCAAACCATTTTAAGGTCTATATTATTAGCCCCCTTAGCCGATATATATATTTTTAAAAATTCTACAGAATTAAACACTGTTATACAATGATTTGCCAAGTTCATTACCCTAGTTAAGCCTTTAAATGTCACTTTAAGCTGAATACTTGTATCTTGAAAAATATCTAGTCAAAAATAATGTACTGTCATCATGGCAAAGATAAAATAAACCAGTTGTTAGAAATTAGTTATTAAGACTATTGGGGAAAAAAAATCTTCTTTTAACAGAAATCAATTTCAGTTAAACAAAAAATCTGAGGAAAAAATAAACAGGGGAGCTAATATTTCAGAACGGCTAATAATTCTGCCTTCCACTGTATATCATGTGTACAAAAAAGCCTAGTTTTGCTATTGTTTATATTGCGGTGTTAAAAAATGCATTGTTTAAAGTAACACCTTTTCCGACTTTATGAGTGGGTTTATTAAACATAAGCACGGGGTGCAGACAGAAACAATAAAAACAGAAGAAAGTTGCAATTTTGTTTAGTGTTTTTTTTATTTTATTTTATTTTTATGTTTGACCTGTAATTTAGTTTTTAATATTAAAAAATATATATTAATATTGGTTTTGTTTTTCTACATATATAATAGTTATAAAAAAAGTCGATCACATACTGTATAAATGTGTACATTTCTGAGTATATACTTAAATTGTAAAAAAAAAAAAAAAAAAAAAAAAAATATATATATATATATATATATATATATATATATATATATATATTGTCTTATTATAATATTTTTTCTTCTAGAGAAAGTCTTATTTGTTTTATTTTGACTAGAATAAAAGCAGTTTTTATTTTAAACACCATTTTAAGAACAAAATTATTAGCCCCTTTTAGGTTTTTTTTTCCGATAATCTACAGAACAAACCATCGTTGTACAATAACTTGCCTAATTACCCTAATCTGCCTAGTTAACCTAATTAACCTAGTTAAGCTTTTAAATGTCATTTTAAGCTGTATAGAAGTGTCTTGAAAAATATCTAGTTAAATATTATTTACTGTCATCATGGCAAAGATAAAATAAATCAGTTATTAGAGATGAGTTATTAAAATTTTATGTTTAGAAATGCTGAAATAAATCTTCTTTCAGTTAAACAGAAATTGGGGTAAAAATAAACAGGGGGGCTAATAATTCTGTGATCAACTGTATATTTGTTTTGACCAGTACAGCACATGTGCTGCTGATACATTGGCTGCTCAGTATGTTTATGGTATAGTGTTTTATAAGTCACAGATATGTTCTCAATCTGAAAATCTTGGAAAGGTTTTCTTGTTTGCTGTAAGGGTACATGAAGAACCTTCTGTATGCGAATGCCACTAAATTTCATGGAATTAAGTGAACTAGGGCTACAAAAAGTGTGAGAAACAGCCCCAAATTATTGCCTTTAAAATTTCTGACATGCGAGCAAAGCATGTTTTTTAAATAACTTTAGCTTTTACTAGTCAAGTGTTCACCGAAATGAGAGTTCAACTGTCTAGATTGCGTCTCGGAGATGCTTTTGTATATTTGATGGTTGCAAGACAAGTGTTACTGTATGACCTGTGGGAGGGGTGAAAATTAGAGAAAAGATAAGCGAGGGGAGCTAATGGGCCGTTGGAGTCAGGTTGTGATATTCACCGCACTTTCATCTTCCTGCACGATCCACACACTCGAGGATCCCATTGCACATCATACCACCGGCTAAATCCATGCATGCGTGCAGCATTACCACGGTTCCATAAAGCAGCGTGCACCATCTGCTCTCTTATGTAATCATTTCAAAAGTCTACCAGCCATTCACTAGCACCCATCAATGGCTTTATACCGGGATGTAGGTGTTTGGTTTTGTTTGTTAAATGAAGGTTCTTGTTCAATAATACACCCACACACCTTACAAACACATACGTGCGTGTCTTAGCCAGCAGTTGTGTTTTTTTCAGAGTATATAAAACAGGCCTGTGCTTGTCCCAGAGTAGCGCTGTAGGTCTACAGGCCCGGCAAAAGACAGGTTTCTCAAGAACCTATTACTTCTCTGTCGCTGCTTGCTCGCTTCCCCCTCCTCTCATCTTCCTTTTTTGCACTTGAACTGGTTTTGTTTATCATCTTCAATCATTAGCGGCTCTTTTGCTTTTTCTAACCATGCAACAGAGTTATTTTCCTTCTGCCTCCCTCTCACCCAGTTCAAAAAGTGGCAAAACCAGCTCTGTTTGTCTTGCTCAATCAAGGTTTGTTCCCCCACAAAATCTCTCTCACCCTCCCTCCTTTATTTTGTTGTACTCCTCTTTCTCTCTCTTTTTTGTTTTTGAACTAGTTCTTCCTCCTAAACAGGGTAGGTCTTCCCCTGAGGCAGAGTACTTTAATGACTCCAGGTGCAAAGTAGTATTTCCAGTGCTAAAGTGTTAAAGTCTCATTAGGCTGAACAACACCAGGAAAAGAATGCGGTTAAGTATGTGAATGCAAACATTTCTAGCGGCAAAATCTTGATTGTTGTGTTACAGAATGCCTAATAAATCTGTGCAAGTACATAATGCATTGCATTCCCATCAATGCAGGTGCAGATGCTGTTTGAGTTTAGACCTTTTTCCTCGTTGCTGCATGGAGGGCGCCATAGTGGCCATCACCTTTCTGTAGGGTGCTTAGAACTTTCGTTAACAATTGTCATCAGGCAGAGCAGCGTTTCTCAACTAGACCTCAGTACTGTTTTCAGTTGCTTATGGAGTGTTTTTGTGATGCCAAACTTTAATTTTTAAATTTTAATTCTCCCGACAATGTCGACGATAAGGTTCTGCACCGTCAAAGGCACCTGCGCTAGCACCCTAAAGGCAGAGGAAGATGCGAACCGTCGCACAAAAAGTTCTAGACATGCTAAAGGAAGGTAGATGTTATGCAGATGTAGGTAGGGCTGCTTGATTATGGGAAAAACCATAATCAGGATTATTTTGGTCATAATTGTAATCACGATTATTTAAAACGATTATCAGTTGAAGTCAAAACTATTCGTCCTTCTGTGAATTTATTTTTATATATAAATATTTCCCAATTGATGTTTAACAGAGGTTTTTTTTTTTTTACAGTATTTCCTATAATATTTTTTCTTCTGGAGAAAGGCTTATTTGTTTTGTTTCAGCTAGAATAAAAGCAGGTTTGAATATTTTGAAACCTATTTTAATAGCTCGATATTATTAGCCCCTTTAAGCAATACATATGTTTGATTGTCTGCAGAAGAAACTACTGTTATACAATGACTTGTCTATTAACCCTAATTAAGCCTTTGAATGTCACTGTAAGCTGAATATCTTGAAAAACATCTAGTAAAATATAATGTACTGTCATCATAGCAAAGATAAAAGAAATCAGTTATTATATAAATCTTTAAAGTTATTAAATCTGTTATGTTTAAACTGTGCTTTAAGCACCTTCACTGTATTTTTGATTTTATTATTGATTAATAATAAAACAGTCGGCAGCAGCAGGTATACGCTGTCACTTTAAGAATAGTGCGGCTCTGATATGGTTTCTCTTTCACGTGTCTTTTGATTCTCAACTTGTTTGTTTATTACACAAATGAGGGTTAATATGAATAATCACTAAACACCGCGCTCTGACACAAATGTGCATGTATTTGACCATTAAAGTGCTCACATTAAGATTGCGGTACGTGATGGAATAATCGTTTATCTCAATTAATGGTTTTTCACAATAGTTAAAAGCCAAAATCGAAATCGGATTTTCGATTAATTGCACAGCCCTAGATGGTTTTCATGGTGGAGTTTGCATGTTCTCCCTGTGTTCATGTGGGTTTCCTCTGGGTGCTCCGGTTTCCCCCACAGTCCAAACACATGTGCTACAGGTGAATTAAATCAACAAAATTGGCCGTAGTGTATGTGGGTGAATGCTAGAGTTTATGGATGTTTCCCAGTGTTGGGTTGCTGCCGGAAGGGCTTTCACTGCTTAAAACATATGCTGGATAAGTTGGCGGTTCATTCCACTGTGGCGACCCCTGATTAATAAAAGGACTAACCCAAAATGAATGAATGATTGACACATTACATTCAGTTGTGCAGATTTTACTCATTCTTATAAATATCTGTATCAGAAAGACAGTTCAACATAACCTACAAATAAACACTACCAACCGGAAAAAAAAAAACAAATCTTGTAGTTTTCATATCTTGAGCTTAATATCTGCATTTGAGTTTTGTATTTGTGTAATGGCAGATGGACGCTCTGGTTTGGCTGGATTGGGAGAGTCCAGGTGTTTGGTGTTGGTCCCCCCCTCCTCCTCCTCCTCAAACTGTCTGCTCTCCTTTCTTCTCCTCAGAGAAACAGACAAGACAAAACCCAAGCGCTGGTTTGAATTAGCAAGCCAAGCCTCGAGATACAAACCAGACTGGGAGAAAGCACGGCAAACTTACAGACAGCGTCCTGAACACAACCCAGTGTTGGTGAAGGAACTTCTGAGGTTCTGTGAGGATTGTGGTCAGCTTTTCCTTGGAGAATCGAACCTTAAAAACATCTCTAATGATCATGTTGTTCATCCTTGTAGTGCGTTGCTCTGAAATGGCTATGTTTTAGTGCAATACATTTCATACAGGCTAGATTAGATGATGTAAAACGTGTGTGTCCCTTCTCAGTGAACTACAGCCCTTTGTTGCTTCTACACCTA